GTTCTTCGTGGATACCCTGAAGTTTGCCTTCCAGGGGCCCGGGGGGGGGGGGGCCAGAGCTTTAGGGCCTAGAGTTTAGGGTTTGGGGGCTTAGGGTTCCGAAATGAGTTAGGGCTTATCATGCGACAGTAATGCGAAATAAAAACATCAATCGCACCAGCGATGTAATAATGATAGTCCTAGCAACACACTGGATGGAGGAAGTCTCGCAGGCCTTGCACCACGCATATATCCCCAATCATCTTTATTATTTCATGTTGGGGATTGTAAATGGTGCGAGACTTCCTCCATCGACTGTAGCAAGAGGAATAGTAATATAGGCTTTAAGGTTTTCGGCGCTTGGGGTTTCGGATTTGCGGTAGAGGATGTATTTTGAATAGGACGTATAAAAGGTCAGGGATTTCGCGTTTGACGGTTTGGAGCCCGGTGCCCGGATAGATCCTCATAGTCTGGAGTCGTCTTTTTTACTCTCAGACATGATGCCTTATATCAGCCATAGTCTAAACTCCTAGTCTCCCCCTTAATAACCTCTAGAATACTTCTAGAATCCATTATATAATCCCCTTTAAGGAGTTTAGACTCTAGCTCATATATGAGCTATATGATCGCTTCCGCATGTCTCACAAGGCACGAAGGATCCTGGGCTGCCGTACAATACTCCCTCTCGCTCGCCTTTGATCAGCTAATTCAGGCTAATTGACGGAGGAACTGGGCGGCAGAAGGGCGACCAATGAGGTTTTACCCTTGGAAATGGATTCCCTCCCCGAACTAACATGGACCGCAGGTACACCTTCAAAAGGGCAATCGTCTTTGCAGGGGCAATTTGGGATTCCATGCTCGTTTGGCAGAGGGTGAGACCCTAAACCCTAAAATCAAATCATCCACAAACCCTAAACCCGAACCCTAAAACCCCCAAAGGTACAGATTATTCGGAAAACCCAACATTCACAGCAGGTACCATTTAACATTCACCCAGTCGGTTTCCTCATGGCTTCGGGGCCAGGTTTAGGGTTTAGGGTTTGGGATTTAGGGTGCATGGTTTAGGGTTTAGGGTTTAGGGTTTGGGGTTTCAGTGTTTAGGGTTTAGGGTTTGGGGTTTAGGGTTTGGGGTTCAGGGTTTAGATTTGGGGTTTAGGGTTTGGGGTTTAGGGTCTCTAGGGCTTCCCCCATACATCCCTATAAGCCCTATAAGCCCTTTTAATGGCCTTAGCCTTTGATCTGCGAACCTTGGACTCTGCGCTCGACCTTTTGACGCCTTGCTTTGAACCCTAAGTTTGGTTGGCTGAGGGTTTAGGGTGTAGGTGCTCATGGGTATGAGCATCCCTTCGGGAGGGTCCTCAGAACAAGGGCTATCGAAATAATCCGTACATAGAAGAAAGATTCGTACTGTGAGAAATGCTCTAATAGGTGGGTTTAAAGTAGGATAAGATCATCTAAGTTAGAGGACATAACCCCAGACCCTAAAGCCTGAAGCCTAAGCCCGTGAACCTCGAAGTAACCTCAAATACCGTAGGTTGTAGTAGCTGTAGCCCCTATATGCTCCCCAAGCCTGCAGTGGTCTCCATTTTCTGGTCCATTCCCGAAGCGTAAATCCTACAAAGTAATTTCCATTTCCTTTCTGTTCCTTCACTGCCTACAGTACAAACAAGCAGCAAGTAGATTGTGATGCCTCAGGGAGGACGAGTTAGTTGCCGGCGCTGTTCAAAATCAGCCCCTTGTCAGCGACCATTTGTTTCAAAAGCCTTAAACCCTACTGTGGACCCTAAACCTTACTGAAGGGCCGGGCCGCCCAGTTCTAAATTAGGTTAGAATAAGGATAGGTATGATAGCAAGTCTGTTGGGTAGTAGTTTTGGACTTATATTATGGGGCTTTCCGTAAACTGAGGGACCCCTTGTGGCGAGTCCTTGCAATAAGGGCTATATTATTTTAGAGTTTATGTTTGGCCCGCCCTGGATGTGGGGAACTACCATGGGTAATTATGTTTGTGTAACTCTTGTACTTTAGTACAGTCCCTCATATAGTCCCGAATAAGGAGCCCATGTCCATTCATTGTATGGAAATTCATAAGTATGCTTATGTATCCCGTGGCCCCAGTTGTAGTTAGGTTCCCCATGCCCTGGGTTTGTCAATCGCCTGACCACGGCATAGAGCGTTCAGGTTTAGAAGTTTGTGGTTTCTATAAGATGCAGGGATATATATATATATATATAAGGGGGGATAAGGGGTTTAGGGGTTAGGTTGTACTTCAACCACACAAAGTATGTAGAGCGATGCTTGTATCATGTTGGTGATTCTACTTATGGATTTGGTTCATAATTTCGGGGTGTAGGCATAGTAGAGTCCTGAAGGGGTACCCTTCTCATCCTCAAAGATCCTCTAGGGTGTTCAAGGGTGGGCTTAGGTTTGAGAAAACCTCAGGTGACATTGGGGCAGCTACTTTGTTGGAGCCTGGGTTTGCGCATGGGTTAGGGAACATACGTACAGAAGGGTTACAATACGGCCATACATGGGTTGTTAAAGGGACGGCCCACCCCGTAATAGTGGCATACTTGGAAAATATGCGGACCTTAATACAACTACCATAGTCCGTTATAGCGCGCAAACCCTAGACTTTTAAACCCCGAGATCCGCGAGATCCGCTCTACTTACCATTACCAGCTGAGGGGTCGACCTAGTACATTACCTAGGTCCAGGATCCTTCAAAATAATTCGTTGATAGCAGATCTCATGCATTCCTCAGAGATTCTCATTGGGAGGGCAGCTGCGTACGGGCCACCTTGCATATGCCTTCAGAATCCTTCAGATGCGTGGAGTACGGGGTTGGGGGTTTCATCACAACATGAGAGACAGATGGTTTCGGTTTCAAAAATCAGCAAACTCCCATGCTGGTTCTGTGAGGGGATCCTTACTTTAACATTGCTTGTATTCTGCGTGTTTTCATGAGACATACCCTATAATATAGTAGTTTCCATTTTGTTTTCCAGTATCCCTATATAATCTCTATGTTGCTATATTACCCCTATGTTCCCCTAAGCCCCTTTAGACCATAAATTCCCTACCTTGAGATCTGGTCAGGGGGCTTAGGGCTTACCGAGGGCTTGCTGCATGTGAGGTGCTGCAAGATTTCTTGCGTCCACAACAACCCCAAAACCCTAAACCTTTAAATCCAAAACCCTAAACCATAAACCCAAGATCCTAAACCCTAAACCCCATCATATCTTTGTGTTGCCTCTTGTGGCTCCTAGTAGTCTAGACCGACAGGGTCTCGGCATGTTCCCAAGGTTATGGTGGCCCCAATAGAATAGTAACTAATTCTTCGGGCACCTAAACTTAGGACTCTATAGTTTATAGGGTTCAGGGTTTAGGGTTAAGGATTTAAGGTTTAGCGTTTAGGGCCGATAATTATCAAATGACTACAACAGGATCCTTATTACAATCTTAACATGCAAGTAGGAGTGACATCTGCGCGATGGTTTCCTGGAGACATCCGAAGAGTGAAGAATGCTGACCTGCAAGGCCTAAAGCCTTAGCCCCTAAACTGTAAGGCCAAGCGTGCTGAAACCCTAGGCTCTAAACCCTTGTCCCACCACCCTAAACCTTTAACCCTAAACCCTACCTGCAAGCCCAATTACCTACACTTTAGTTGTAATTCCCCCTAAATAGTAGGTATACCGAATTGAACTGCAGGTAAATGGAAGCCCTAAACCCTAAACCCTAAACCCTAAGCCCTAAACCACCGTCAGGTCAGACCCCCTCGGAGTGTTTGGTGGTGTTCCGGGGGAGTCCCTGGATGCCTTGCAGGAGGCTGCGAACTCAGCTGCTATGTTCTTTGAGGGTTTTGGGCTTTGGATTTAGGGGGTTTAGGGTTTAGAGAGTTTAGGGTTTATGCCTCGACCCTTTTATCTACCTCAACCCCCCAAAAAGTGCTTAGAATAGCAGCTTTTTGAGTTCCTTTCTGAGTCTTGTGCAAACGATTTACATACTTGTGAGGTTCAGGTAATACTCTCTTGGGGTCCTACTAGGAATGCCCACGAAAAAAACACTAGACCGAAGGCACTGCAACGCAGGGTCCAGGTATCGTTGCAGGATATGGGGTTTAGCGTTCGGGTTTTAGAGTTTAGGGTTTAGGGTTGTGCAAGAATTTAGGTGAGTCTCCCCTACAGCAATAGCTCCGAAATATGGAGTTAATAAGGCCTTAATATGCCTACAATAGTCCCTTGCGGTACCCGAAACGCAAAACAGTCCTTTGTGGTGCCCATTACTGTGTTGGGGACTGACCCAAGCTTTCGCCGCCAGTAAGTAGATAGAATATAGCTTTGGATTTATGATAATAAGATCCCCATATACCTCGTATTCTATCTAATTAAGGGCGACTAAACCCTAAACCCTGAACCCTATCTACTTAAGGGGGACTATAGCCCCTCGAGTCAGAGCCTCCAAGCGGCGCCCTACACTGCCATCACGATCCAGTACTCTACCCTAAGGCTCTTGGACCCTCATAATGGAATAATCCCAAACCATAGCCCCCAAAGCCCAAACCTTCCCCAGAAAGCCCCAAATAGTCCTAGGAGCCTTAGGGTAGGTAAGCCAGCTGGAGCTCTGCTGCTTTTGTCACAATCATAGCTTTAGGGCTAAGGGTTGAGAGTTTAGGGCTGAGGGTTTAGGGTTCAGGGGTCAGGGTTGGGGGTTGAGGGGTAAGGGTTAAGGGTTTAAGGTTTACAGCAGCGAGGAACGTCAGCTCCAGTCTTGAGTCACCTCATCATCGGCCTGGGTGTCGTCAGTGACCTTGCCATTGGAGTCCGTCTTCGATTGGCTGCCGTATTGACCGTGAGGGAGAGTTTCATTGATGAATCCCTGGGGTAGGCTCCTTTCACCACCTGACCCCTAAAGCCTAAACCCTTAACCCTTAACCCTAAAGTTCCGCCTGCTACGGCAAGGTGTACCAGGAGGCAGCACCGCCATCAACCAAGGTCGAGATGTGGCTCCCTCGCTTGCAGAGGGTTGCTTGGAACCGACAGATCGACTACGGGCCTCTCGAGGAGCCTGCTGTCTTCACCATGCCTCAGGATGCCAACCGAGGGTGGAAAGCAGCAGGCAACTGCGGCTCGCTCGATCCCTCCCAGACCTACCTCATCACAAGGGGGGACGAGACGGTCGGCTACATGGCAGACGCCGGTTCCCTTCATCATGGGACCGCAGACGCAAGGCATCGTTCCCAGCTGGCATGGGGCGAACGAGTTCGAGCGAGCCAACGACTTCGGCTTCCCCTACACGCTGGGGACCCTACCCATCGTGCCAGTGGCACCGCCACTTGACTGGAGGCCATGGGTGCGGCTTGGCACAAGCACACCGGCGGTTCCGATCTACCTCACCACATCCATCGGCTACACGCTCCAGGATTAGACAACCTTAAAGCCGAGGCGATCATCCTGCTGATTGTTTAGGCGAAAACATTCTCCTTGACCTCCCCAACACCTGTCTAACCACCTTCAAGGTTCCGGAAGAGTGGAAACAAGCACTAGTAGTAAACATCTACAAGGGTAAAGCTTCAGAGTCTGACCCCGCTAATTGCCGCCCCATATCGCTTCTCAATGTCCTCTATAAAATCTACGCCTTACAGAAAAGACTTGCGGCAGCACGTGATAAACATCTCAGATCCACACAGTTCGGTTTCAGAGCAAGACGCAGCGCTTCAGACCCGGCTTTCATACTACGCAGACTTCAAGACTTCTCCGCCAAGGTAGGCCAACAATTCCACACATTATTTCTCGATTGGAAGCAAGCTTTCGACAAGGTCGATCACTCCGCCATGTTAATAGCCCTCAAACGGCTGGGAGTTCATCCCCATTGTATAGCCACTATTAAAGACCTCTATACGGACCCCTCCTTTTGTACTCAGGGATATTCCACGGAGAAATGCTGGGGTCAAGTTCACACAGGTATCAGACAGGGATGCCTCTAAGCCCCTACCTATTTATAATGGTTATGACAGTCATGTTCGAAGACATTGATATTAGACTAAGAGCACATGGTACCCCGCAAAATACTTGGTCAATTGGCAAAGCAGTTTACGATTTGGAGTATGCAGACGTCACAGCTCTAATGGCCGTTTCTATTCCGCAACTAGAGTCGTTCTTACACGCAGTTCAAGTAGAAACGACGTTATATGGTTTACAACTCAATACGGATAAGACGGAGTTACTTATTCATCCAGACCACCCCGCCCCAAGTCTCACTTTTGCTAATGGAGACCCTGTCCCTGTTACCCCTGAAGCCAAATATACCTAGGCTTAAAAATCACGTGGACTACTCCGCGAAAAGCCGCGATAAAATTTAGGAAGGAAAAGCGGAAGCCGCCTTCTCTAAATTATATCACGTATGGTGTAGCAAACTTCCCTGGAAGGCTAAATCGATCATATGTCATTCTACCATAGTTCCATTCCTACTTTACGGCCTAGATTTTTGTTCCCTGGACAAACAACATTTAAAAACTATTGAGGCCTGGTACTTCAGACTTCTTTGAAGAGCTATGTCCATTAAACATTCGTACTACAACAGGATTTCCAACGAATGGGTTTGGCAGGCAGCAGGCAAGCCTCACATCCCCCCCAAAAACTTCTCCAACAACAATTCAAACTTTCAATACAGTGCGTGACTACTCCGCCCACAGAACCCTTCCACCACTGCTATAAAAAATAGAGTCAAGATTGCCAAGTCTAAATCTAGAGGACACCCTGCAAGATACTGGTTCGAACTTGTCTCCAAAGAAGCAATTAGATTCCTCAACCATTATCTTGACTACCACGCCCTCCCAGGTACAACTGCGCCTACGCGCGGAGCGCAATANNAGCAAAACAGTTGGAAGCGCATGGCACGCCTAAAAACCCTAAAGTTAGCCCTAAACCGTGTAGACCCTAAACCATCTTTGGCAGGTGAGGGTGGAACGGCCTTGCATAAAAGGGTATTGGTAACCCAAGAACCCAGCTGTATTATAGTTATATGACAGTGCTTGGCTCCTATTTTGGGGGTGTGTTGCGAGAACACTCAGACTATCTAAGCCCTAAACTTACATGAGTCCAGGTTACATTGCATAGTCGCACTCACCGGCGATTCTCGATTATCCCCCTAAACCTGAACCCTATCTAGACCGCTCAACCCCTAAACCCTGGAAACTCTTAGACCCTACACCTTCACTATTCATACTCAACCCTGACCCCTTCCTAAGGCCGTGAGCACGCAATCTGAATCACTTAGCCAGTTCATGGCTCAGGCCTGCGTGCTTTGGGTAGGCTTCAGGGTTTAGGGTTTAGGGATCAGGGATTTCGGGATTAGGGTTCAGGGTTTAGGCTTGAGGGAGTTGGGGTTAGGGTTGGAGGGACAATGGTTAGAGTGTAGGGTCTAAGGGTTTAGGGTTTAAGGTTGAGGGTTTAGGGTGTAGGGCTCAGAGTTTTGAGTTTAGGTTCTGTGTATGGCCACTGGCTGCGGGGGGTCGCATGGATAGCAATATAGACAAAGATGACCTGAACCCTAAGCCCCTACCCGAGATCTCGATATACATATCTGTATATAGGTTCATATAGGCGTCTCCGCTCTAGAGAGGGTGTAGTTTTCCGTAGTGATCCGCCATTACAGTAGCTTGCAGAAGAACCCTGCGCCCTTTTTCTTGAGGGTGCCGAACTTCCGGTCTTCCTCCCGAAAAACGCGTTTTCGCGTGGAAGGCGTTGCGGACGGAATTTCTGAATTCTAGGCAGAAAGCCAATCTCTGTCTTTGACAAGACTGAGGAATTCAGCCGAGCTGCAAGCAAGCACATGTCTACGAGCCTCCCTGTACATTCGGAAGCACTGCAGAAGCTGCATAAGGCCTGGCTTTTCCAGCATGCGAGCGCCAGCCAAGGCAGCAATGTGCACTGTGGCGGGCGAGGAACGTCTGTACAGCAACTGCCTTCGAATCTGCTGATTGGATCGTGAAAAAGTATGGTTTGGGCATGAATGCTGTGGTAGGCGCATTCATTCAAACATGAACGGAATTATGGTTTGGGCATGGATGCTCTGGTATGCGCATCCATTAAAAGACGAACGCAATTATGGTTTGGGCATGGATGCTCTGGTCCCACATGGATGCTTTGGTCACCGAAATGGTGGCAGTGGCAGTATTTTGCGCTGGATGCAAGGTGTAAAAAAGTGCTCGAAACACAGCGGGGTCACCAAAAATAGCCGCCGGGGCGAAGGCGCTGTCCATTCATTTTCCTGAAACTCAGAAATGTTGGCGGCACCAGCATTTCGCGGACTTCCAAACCTTGGAAAATGCACGAAATACTGCGAGGGCCAGCAAAGATGGGCGAGGGCGAGGGCGCCATTTCTGCGCAGTTACAGGCCGACGAGGCCAAGAACGATAACAGTGTTCATATTCATATATAGGGCCGAACCCTCAACCCTATATGTAGGGATCCCCAGAGTCCAGGTTTTGTGTGCGGTAGACCAGAGAGTGTTTAATCGAGGGTCTCTACCTACTTGCGTCTAAGGGTTTAGGGTCTAGAGTTTATGGTTCAGACTTTAGGGTTTAGGGTTTAGAGTTTACGATTTAGAGTTTAGGTGTGACGGTTCCTACCTGGAACTGCTAGTTGCCCAAAATGGTAGGCAATCAGGGGAATCTTGACCACAGTTATGGAGTCGGTGCTGTGGTTCTAGCTAGATAAGGTTCAGGATTTTGCGTTTATTGGTTTAAGTTTGGTGCCACAAGATTCGGAGTTTTGGGCCTGAACGTCGTTGCTGGCTCTCTTCTTGCTGGTTGCTGGTCAGGAAAGAACGGATATGAAACACGGTTTGCGTTTGGCGCATGGAAAGAGGGCGGAAACTACTACATTCTTAGTTTTTTTTGGTCTTGTAAAGCGGCCACCCTGGATTGATAGCCTAGGTACCCCACATCTAGCAATGGTGGCAACGAAGGACACTTAGGATCTGGCAGGACCCGAAGGTCGGCAGGTTGATGGACCTAGGTATTTTTGAATTGCTTTGCAAGGTTCAAGGCCTTAACTTTTGAAGTGCCAGGTTTGGAGGGTTCATTGTTAAGGTCAGTTTCGTTCAGATTTGCCCCCAGATCTCAGCATTAAGAGCCCTGTCACCTGCCGATCAGGGGGTTCAACATGCAGGCAGAGTGGAACAAGCTGTCTGACGGTCAAGTGAACCGTCAGGACTCCCATGTGTGCGCACCTTGCATCTCTATGATTCCTTCCGTATTTTTGCATGCGCAGGACTTTCGGTACTGGCCCGCGCGACGCCAATCAGCGTAATTACAGGGCGAGCTGTGCAAAAGGCGATTCCACGTGACCCGGGCGGCCATACTCCGTCGAGAAGCACTAAAAAAACCTCCACGCTGCTCTCATGATATGTGAGGATTGGGACATTGATACTGACACAATGGAGTTGAAATGAGTTGATGCAGGAATATGGAGCTTTGAAAACTCGATTAATTTCCGCCGTCGCCGCCTCAACTCTGGGTTGGTAAGCAGCAGAAAACTTGGGTAATCAGCAACGACCCCAAACAAAGGCAAACTCCTCCTTTGGACGTAGCCTGGGCTTTAGACCCTTAACCTTCTGGGATTCCCTTTTACTCCTATGATAGGTACCTAAGGGTTAACCCTAAGTAGGGGTCCTAAGTGCCGCGTAGATTCATGCGGTCTAAATAAATGCAGAAGCACTGAGCAATGCCAACACAGAAGGCTTCAGCATCGAGGCGCGCCTAAACCCTATCGTCCCCTCAAGTAGGTAGTTTTTTTCAACGAAGGCCCACATATTCCATCCTCTGTCGACCTCAGAGGACGATACCGTAATCCTAAACCCTAGACACTAAGCCTTAAAGCCTGAACCGATTAAGCCCTGAACCCTTAATCTAAAACCCCTAAACCGTAAACCCTGAACCCTAAACCCTAAACCCTAAACCCTAAACCCTGAACCCTAAACCCTAAACCCTGAACCCTAAACCCTAAACCCCTAAACCCTAAACCGAAGGCCTCTTCGCTGAATATTGCGCCCACGGACTTTGCAGACAGCCTCAGCACTGTACGAAGGAGGGAGAGCCAGGTTTAGGGTTTAGGATTTGGGGTTTAGGATTTAGGGTTTGGGGTTTAGGATTTAGGGTTTGGGGTTTAGGGTTTAGGGTGTGGGGTTTAGGGTTTAGGGCTTAGGGTTTGGGGTATTGGTGCCTGAATCATCCGAACTGCGGAGAATCAACCTGAAAAGAAAGGGTACATGAAGCAGAAACGGAGCCCAGCAACAGGGGCCCCAAGAGGCTTGTACGTAGACTTGAGTCATAGATAAGAGGATTTCTCTAAACCCTAAATCCCGAAGACCCCAGGCTTCCCCTCCAATAGGGTTTAGGGCTTATAATTCT